ATATGAACAAAGAAAGAAAGAAAGCTGGAGAGCCGAAATCAGGAAAAGGAGAAATTAGACAACCTTGGATTATGTGAAATATGGTGGACAATTTATGAGTGATGAAATGAAAATTATATTATCAGAAGAAAAAAATGAAAAGTAGCATTTCAATCAACACAGAGGCAGGAATATGTGTGAGTGACATTAAATATAATTCAGGTAGATCAATGCTAGTTGATAACCTGTGGACACTACTACCATTCAAGTATGTATGCCTACAGGTAAACATCCAGATGAGGAGGCTGATGAAATATGACAGAATGGAAAAAGACTAATTGGATGTGAGAGTGGAAAGTACTATTGAATTATGAGAGACTGGAATAGTCATGTGGGGATCAGTTAGAAAAGGAGCATAATCCTGTGAAAGTGAGAACAGTAATCCAGCTAAAGAAGACTGCTAATGGAATACACAGAAAGCAATGGAACTTAGAGAGAGGGAGATAGAGAGAGAGAAAGTACTAAACAGAATTTACAAACTGGGTGAATTAAGCACTAGCTAAGAATGATAAGAATACCACCAATATGAATCAGCAATGGAAACACATGAAAGAATCTGCTAAGGAAGAGGATTAAGTAGCATGTGCTTTTAAGAAGACAAAAGGATGTAGAATCCATGGGTTTTGACGGCAGTGCTGTAAAAGATGGAAGAGAGGAGAAAGTAGAGGATATCACTAATGAGAAGATAAGCTGAAATACACACACTTGAACAATGAGCTTAAAAAAACAGAAATGGCATGAGAACAATAGTTTAAGAAGGAGTCAGATATATTTGAGGCATTGGATTGACGAAGACAGGTAGATCCAATATATGATAAAGCAAAGGAGATTTGTGGCACTCATCATAAGGAACTAAAAACAACAGCAAGAGAGTGTAGACACCAATGAGGTAAGAAAAGCATGCAAGGGGTATATTGAAGAACTATATACAAAACCTGCCTCATGGTAGACTGTAAAAAAGGTGAAGTCACATGGTATCAGGGTGAGCTGGCAAGATGGATACAGAACTAGCTTAGTCACAGGAGACAGAGGTTAGTGGTGGAAAGATGCTTTTCGGAATGGAGGGTTGTGACTAGTGGTGTTCCACAGAGTTTAGTGTTGGGACTTCTGCTGCTCGTGATCTATAATTTGGAGGAAAAGTAGCTGGTCTATGCAGATAGTGAGGAGGATTGTCACAGTATACAGCAGGATATGGATCAGTTGGAGGCATGGGCAGAAAAATGGCAGATGGAACTTAATCTGAACAAATGTGAGGTGATGCATTTTGGAAGGTCAAGTACAGGTGGAAATTATACAGTGAATAGCAGAACCCTTAGGAGTATTGATATGCAGAGGGATCTGGGTGTGCAGGTCCACAGATCACTGAAGGTGACAGCGCAGGTAGATAAGATAATAAAAAAGGCTTATGGCATGCTTGCCTTCATTGGAAGGGGCACTGAGTATAAGAATAGACAAGTTATGCTGCAGCTTTATAGAACTTCAGTTAGGCTACACTTGGTATATTGCGTACAGTTCTGGTCAGCACACTACCAGAAGGATGTGGATACTTTGGACAGGGTACAGAAAAGGTTTACCAGAATGTTGCCTGGTATGGGGAATTTTAGCTATGAAGAAAGGTTGGGCAGGCTGGGTTTGTTTTCACTGGAACGCAGGAGGTTGAGGGGTGACCTAATAGAAATTTATAAGGTTTTGAATAGCATGGAATATTGTGGAAAGTATGAGGCTTTTTCCCAGGGTGGAGGGGTCAATTATTTGGGGATACATGTTTGAGGTGTGAGTAGGGAAGTTTAAAGATGTGTGAAGCAAGTTTTTCACACAAAGGGTGGTGAGTGCCTGGAATGCACTGCCAGAGGAGGTGGTGGAAGCAGACACAACAGCAGCATTCAAGACACACCTGGATGAATACATGAATTGGAAGGGAATAGAGGGATACGGATCCTATAAGTAAAGGCAGTTTTAGTATGGAAAGGCAAAATGTGGCAGTGCACATTTGGGAGGGCTGAAGGGCCTGTTCCTGTGCTGTATTGTTCTTTGTTCTTTAAGACCATTGATGATAAGACTTTTGAAGTGGTGACAGAGGGAACAAGTTTGTCTGGGGCTGTCGGGGCAGGCGTCGCCATGCTGGTGGTATTCTGCTAAAACTGAGCATAGAAAGCACTGAGAGTGGATACCTCCTATTTTCAATCTGAATGTCTCTGTCAAACATGAGTACTATTCCTGTGTCAGACTGTGCATTTTGATCAAGCTATTGATGATCAACTCATAAGATCATCACCTGCGTTAGGCTGAGCAGCTGCCTGATCTCCAGCAATACTTCCATTGCCTGCTCCTGGATGTTTTCTCCTTAGGGAGCTGCAAAGATTATGCTCCTGACTGCATTCTAGCTGTACTATACATCGAGATGTCAGTATCTGAGCAAGTGGATGGCAGAGAAGATAGCTTTGTTGGTGCTTTCTCTGAAGGCCTATATCTTCTTCCTTAGAAGTAGTTCAGGAAATGATATCCTGATGAATGCAAGGCAAAAGCTTCAAAAAATGTGTCTTTTTTCAAAAATATTCAAGAATCAAGACATGTTTGAATACGCAGTCTGCCGTGGTGAGATGGGGAGGCAGTGGGGAGTGATGACAAAACACTTGCAGCAAAGCACATTAGACGGATAACAAAAACCAGGAGAAAGACTAACCACAACAGTCATTAAGAACATAGAAAATACAGGCAGGAGTAGGCCATTGACCCCTTCAAGCCTGCTCCACCGTTCAATAAGATCATGGCTGATATGCCTAAGGCTTCAACTTCTCTTTCATGCCAGCTTTTCATTGCTCTCAACTCCTGATGTTTCAAAAATTGAAGTCCTTTTTGAGTACTTTCAGTAATCCATATTTATGAGCCAAAGACTTGCCTTGAGCCTAAATCTCCCACTAACTGTAGCCACAAGTACTTACACTGCTAAGATGTCACAGGATATTCCAACACCCCTGGCACTAGTGCCATCTTTAAAAGGCCACTGTGCACTTGGTCAAATACTGTCAAAGCAGATTGATTTTATTGTCATATGTACCAAAACACAGTGAAAAGCTTTATTTACGGGCGGTACAGGCAGATCACAGCAAGCAAAGGATGTACAGATCAAAAAGACTTAGAGGCATTACAGATTTAGAACTTAAGTTTAAAAGTGTAGAATGGTTATAAGGACTATTAAAGTTAAATCTGCTGTAGGAGCTCACAAGGAGTCATCCGGTGTCGGCATCATCTTGCATCATGGGCTCTACATGGCTCATGACATCTGCTCTGAACATGGCACATAAACAGAAATTGAAATCCTGCTTTTCAGAGAGGGACCTAGAGGTCCTATTTGATGGAGTAGCACAGAGAAGGAATATCCTCTTCCCACAAGACTGGCAACGGAGGCCATGACTCTAGACTCTGCCATCCTGGTCCAATATTGCTACCTGAATCAGTAGGAATTCAGCAGCCTGAAGAAACAATTAACAGTTTAGGAAGACAGTCATTGACCTCCTTCACTCTGCCTGGGTAAGTGCCACCATCGCCTCTCTGCTACCTTGTACTCACTCTATACCTGCTGCTGCATACACTTCCCACTGAGGCTCATGCTCTACCATGCAGACAATTGCATGCAACATGTTCCCTGACTTATACTCATCTAATTCCCTGACAGCATTAACCCTGGATGGCCTCAACACCTACTCATGCTCTACAATTCTCACTTCTGCAGTCAACATCTTTTTTTATTATTACCGATCCAATTTCTCACACCATCAACATGTCATCTGTGTTGTCTATTTGCACACCTCACCACCCTTCATCCACCTGCACCAGCATTCAATCCTTCCCTTTATCTCATTCCCAGAGAAAACAGTCAACAACTGGGCAGAAAGATCTAAGACAGATTGCAGGATGCCTGACATTTGGATCCTCACCTCCTACAAGGACACATTCCTGAACCTGACCCTGAGCACTCCAATGATAATGCCAAGGCCTGGAACTGAAGCCAGAAACTACCCTTGACTTAGACTTGAGTTCCTGCCTAGTGCCCCGAATAAAGTGTGATTTCTTTGTCTTGACTGTCATTTCATTGACGCAAATGCACTGTGTTTGCTGCACATACACATGTCACAAGTGTGAGACTGATATACCATGGTACCATACAGCAACATGTCCGTTCCCTTGACTGATCACAGCTAACAACCTTGCAAACTTCCTGATTTGACAGAAATTCACAAATCCTTTACAGTTCCTTAAACAGCACCTTCTAAACCCACAACAACTACCATCTAGAAAGATAAGAGCGTCACATACACAGGAACACCACCACCTACAAGCTTCCTTCTAAGTCACTCACTAGCCTGACTATGAAATATAATACCATTCCTTTGGTGTCAGCAGGTCAAAATCCTTGAATTCCCTCTCTTGCGGCATTGTGGATGTATCTATATCAAATAGATTGCAGGGATTCAAGAGCAACTAGGGATGGGCAATAAATGCTGGCCCAGCTAGCAATACTCACATCCCATGCATGAAAATAAAACACAGCCTTCAGGGTTCATACTTTTAGCTGCAGAGACAGTACCTATATCCCCAATTTATACAGTCCCCAATTGTAACTTAAGCCTTTTTTAAACCCTCCCACATGAATGGATGCCACAGTACAGAGCTGTGATCATTTCCTTATCTTCCTTCCATACAGCTTGAAGGGCATTAAACCTGCTTGCCGATTGCAAGGCTTGAGATTCTTTGATTGCCACTGTTTAGATACCTCGACCTGCATTTTTTAAAGCAAAATCCTTCCTTTTTTTTTTAGACTATTGATCAATCTGAGAAATTAGTCCAATAAATAACTGCCTCAGAAATGTAATAATAATGGTACATATTTCAACAACATTAAAATGTTCTTCAAAATTGCTTATAGATAAAGCTTCTAGCTTTTGTCATTCACTACTTACAGAGAGAATATTCTTCATTGTGATCACAAAAACATTGTAGGCAATAAGACAGTCCCAATATTGGAGGATTATTTTAATAGGTTTTAGTAATAGCTCTCCACCAAAGAGCAGGAAATAAAAACAGGCGACAAGGTAACCCATGCAGAAGATACTGATTCGTGTTGTTCCTGTGATAAAGATGATTGTGAGCACGAACCAAAATAGGTAACTGAATCCAATTACTTTTATCATATCCAGGTAGGATCTGTGTTTTGAGAAAAGAAAGCAATGAAATTTCAACCATGAGATCATAAAGATCATACAGAGGAGGCAGATAATTCAGGACACCTTTTTTTTAGATTTTTTTTCTCAGAAATCTACATTCCCCAATCATAACATCTAATATCTATAATTTCAGAGTTCATTGCATTATCTAGAAGACTGTTAAAGGTATTAATCATCTTTTATTTCCTCTAATTAGTCCTGAACTTGCCTTTTATTAGTTTATATTAATAAAGCTTCAGGTTAACTTAGTACGTTACCTTGAAACAGAATATAAAGATGGTCAATAATAGCAGGTAAAATATAATGCAAATAAATTCAATAGCTAGGTTGCCAAATCAATTAGAATACAAGTTCTTACTGATTTCAAAATACTTGAAAGATTTTGCATTTCAGGAAATGATTCTAACATTAGTGAGAGATGCATACCATATTGCAACTTAATCTGTTGGTTTATTTAGCTTCTGCATAAGAGTTAGTCTTATAATAAAAACATCACTGGCTGTATGAAAATAAGGCGAAGTCTCAAAATGGCTCAACCATAAGCTTTGGCAATAATGAATGGCTACACTACCAACTTTGTTTTGGTCTTGAGTAGATTTTGGTGTTTGCTCTTCCAGCATTTTCATTTATTCAGCAGAACAGCAGGTTTGATAATAAGTGACTCCTTTGAGGAACATAAGTGTAAAGATATGCATCTTTATAAAGGTATTATGGACCACCGCTAATAGGATTGCAAATCATCAAGAATTCTTGTGGAATTACACTAATTTACATGCTATTGTGTGGACAGGTTTGTAACAAAAATTAATGCTCATTAAAGTTGCTGGTGATTTATATATATTTATACACATTATGTTACAACAAACATAGTACTATTATATGGAACATGTGCAAGCTCATGTCAGAATAAACATTTATCTCTCACTAAATATGAAAGACAGCCATCAGGGTTCATGCTTTACCTGCAATGAATGAAGTCCGGCACTGGATTATGTTGACTGAATGTGGCTGCATCCAAATCTCTGCAAATTTCTACATTGTCCCCAGCAACTATCCTTACTGCAGCTCTGTTTTCATCTTCAAACACCTGCCACTGCAGTGATGCACAGAGCAACATCATGAAGTCATCTAAAAATCAACAAGACAAACATATCTGATATTTTGTTTTGCATTTCGAACTAAATGTGTTACATTAAAAAGACACTTTGCATTTTTTGCAACATTTGAAAGTACAAATGATGTGATTTTTCAGAGGACAACCTAGTATAGCAATCAATTTTCCTTTCATTGTTCTGAAAAGGACTCCAGTCTGCACTCCTACACAGGTTGTCTTTATTTTACACATCCCAATTCCTAACCACACACCCTAACAACAAAATCACTTTTAACTGGGATTTAGCCTAATCATGTCAGGAACCACTGGGGCAACACATTGGACAACATGGTGGCTCAGTGGTTATCACTGTTGCCTCACAGCACTAGGGACCTCGGTTCAATTCCAGCCTCAGGTGACCATCTGTGTGAAATTTGCACATGCTCCCCATGTCTGAGTGGGTTTCCTCTGGGTGCTTGAGTATCATCCCACAGTCCAAAGATGTACAGGTTAGGTAGATTGGCCATGTTAAATTGCCCATAGTGTCCAGGGATTTGTAGACTAGGTGGATTAGCCTTGGGAAATGCAGGGTTACAGGAATAAAGTAGCGGGGGTGAGTCTGGGTGGGATACTCTTCAGTGAATTAGTGTGGACTTGTTGGGCCAAATGGCCTGTTTCAACACTGTGGGGGTTCTATAGGTTTAAAAACTACTGATCAAAATGGACTCGTATTCACTGGAGATTGAATGAAATGCATCAAATTGTATAATGTAAAATAACAGAAAATTCTTAAAGGGGTTGATTGGGTAGAAATTGACTGTTTAATTCCCTGGCTGGGAGCTCTTTTGGCACAGTGGTATTTTCCCTACCTCTGGACCAAGAGACCTTGGTTCAAGTTTCACCTGCTCCAGAGATGGTGATATCAACTCTGAGCAGGTTGGTTAAAAATAAAACAAAACATAAATACCCTGGCTGGAATCTAGAATTAGTCTCAAGATCATATGTCAACTATTTAAGAGTGAATTTAGGAGATTATTGTTCACTCAGAGGTGTGATGCTTTATAATTCTCCACTTCAAAGGACTTGAAAATTCAGTTATTTAGTACATTCAAGTCAGTGATTAACAAATACTTGGGCACAAATGAAATCAGGGAAAATGGAGATACTGTAAACAGTTGATATGGGGATTTAGCCATGTCCTTATTAAATGGTGCAGCAGGATCAGTGAACTATTTGGCTTACACCAGCTCTTATTGCGCGCTGCTCCAAGTATTCCACATCAATATAATGTTTCCTTAACTGCTTGTGATAATAAATCATTATTTTTTATTTGTTTAAAACACTTTGCAATTGAGCTGTTTCTTGGGTAGATACTTAAGTCATCATGAAAGCGTAAACTTCATCTGCTTTTCTTGACAGTATAAATATGCTGAGTTCATTTCTCTAAAGTATGTCACCACGCTTCAGTTAATGAAATAAATCTAATCAAATAAACTATATTGGCAGGTGTCAGATAAAAAGATTATTTTCTGAGATTACAGAATAAATGTTAATAGTTCATTCTATGATTTTCACTTAACAGATGTATTATATGTGGAAAGAATGAAGTATCAAGCTAGTGACTGAAAAGAAGCAGGAACACAAGTTTTCTCATGGAATTTACAGAAACATTTAAATTATCCTAGTTAACTATGAATATTTTCATTGGGTTACTGTCAAAAAGCAATGTCGCATTTATTTTCCTTCATTCCTGTGCAGTTTGATTTTACAAAAAATTATACACCATTTTCGATAATTTGTTGTGAGACTACATTAAATTTAGCAGGATGAAATGATTGTGCTGTCTACTTTTGTCCTTCAGCATAGATGTAGAAAATTTCAACACTACAAAGAAAAGAAATTTCTTAGTAGGATGAATATTAAAGACTGTTAAGAAAAATGTAGCTGGAAATTTCCATCATAAATATTTCATTTATAAGCATCCGACTGAATTATTACAGTTGTTGAAATAGTAAAAATGCAAATTTCCACAATTAGACAGAAATATTTAAAGTATTCAGTGTATCTTTTAAAGCCATTGCAGTGATTCGAAGTAAAATAAATTTCTCTCAAGCAACTGTAATTTTGTCAATTTGTAATTACCTGTAACTGGAATTTGGGATACTTGGTGTAACTTAGATTTAGTTTCTAATAACTAATAAAAGACAATTATAGTTGACAATATTTATATCATTGTATTAAAAAATACCAGAAAAATTATAAATGTTTTCACATTTAAAAGAAAATGTTAAAGTTACTATCATTATGCTATAGGGCTATGGTTTGCTACTTTACTACCAAATAACAGTGAAAATGTTAAACATAACTTAAACTCAACATTTGTGCAATAAACGTTTATAAATACTTGTTCGTATAGTAGAAATTAGATGTTATTATCGTGCATGAAAGTAGATTATGCATGAATGCTAAAATGGCAGAAGTTATTAAACAAAACAGGGAGATATATTAGTAAACATCAGCAACATAGAACACTGTGTACCACACACGAGAATTATGTCATATTTCTGAATTTAGTCCCTAATTCTAATGCTTTCAAAACATTTCCGGTACTCACAAATGAGAAACATCGGATTTGGATTTGTGATGAAGTCTGGAAAGTACAACCACTTAATAAAGTTTGAGTTGATTTTGGCACTGGCATATCTCCATGGATACTCTGCAATACAATCAAAGTACTATGAAACATATCTATTGGTATTTATTTGGACAATGAAACAGATCTGTCTACATTTCATTTTGACAGGTAATTTCATCATTGTCACTACAATCAGAAAAGAAAAAGACTGAGAAAAATGATATCATTGTAAATTCAGCTGTGAACAGAGAGAGTAATGTATTGCCCAACTTGTTGCTTAGAGTACTCCTATCTCAGCTCATGATATTTTAAAGCAAAATTCAAACAAATTTATTCTTTAGTTAAAGGGAAACTGGTCTCCCTCCAAACTGAGTATGATCACTTTCGTAGAGTTTTAAATTTAGTTTTTTAAGTTTTATAACTAACAATAAGTGTTGGAAGAGAAACAATCATGATAACTATTGGAGCACACGATTAATTGAGCAAGTGTGTCACAATAAATTTGTCTGTGCCAGTACAATCAGAATTGTGCATTTCAATCTATAAAAAATATATAAACATTGATAAGGATTATGATGCGTTCCTATTTTCAGCAAAGTCAAGAGTATTAATAATTATTGTACTAAGGTACCCCTCACACCAATGATTTTTAATTACTATTTGTGTCAACGTGACACAAGTTACAAGATACATAAATTAAGTCAAAGAAAGGTCAGACCACTATTCTTAGATTTTTCAAAGCCAGCAATCTCTTCAACTGGAAATTCAAATTTATTGATATTAATTACAATAATTCAAAAACTACAATACTTTTACCTTTACACGCAGCAGGTGGGATGCCAATACAAAGTAGGTACTGAAAGGTCAAAATGCATGCTAGGAAGCAACAGTATTTAGGCCATATTTCTGCAATGGCTTTTCTGCGGCGTCGGTAGAGTAATGCAAATAACCAAAAAGCATGAAGCATGGCATACACATCCATCCGTTGGCCAATCACATTGACAGTCATTAAGAAACATATCTGTGGAAAACAAAATAGAAATGGTATCACTCACAAAAGAATACTGTCAAAATAATGTTGTAAACAGAGAGTTGGAACGTAAAATTCCAAATTCAACTTGCAATTTCTTATATGAAGTAAGTCATTAATAAAAAGGCCCAAATATTGAATATGAATCGGGCAGAGGTTACGGTTGAATTTTGGTAAGTTTTTACTTGTTTTACATTTAAAAAATGAGTGAGACAAAGGTGAATTACTCCTCCATTGAGTGTTGTTATGACCATATGGCAGAGGCTGGTTTGGCAAATGTAGGTACGTATCAGTTCAAAGAAAAATTCTGGTAATATTAACACAATGGTCTGAATCGTGTGGAGGTGATGGGGTTCTCACTTACTGGCCACATGACCAGCAAGAAACTTGCACTGCATTCTTTGGGGAAGGACTGCCAAATCATGAGCGAATGATGCAGTTGAAAGGCCAGTAGTGGACTGTTTCCTGGGATTTGGATAACAGGGACTAATAAACCACAGATTGAAATCTGTCAGTGAATTACAGGCTGGTGGCTCTTTTGTTCAGCAACATCACCAAGGAGATAATGGCTTCTGGAGGAAAGACACCGACCAGAAGTCCAGGATAATGGTGTGACCCAGCTGCAGGTGCACAGTGGGTACTATTGGGTAGGCAGGGGTAGAGAAAATAAGGGCAGTAGCAAAGTCAGGGATTGCTCCCAGTGGGAACTTCTCTTCTTGATACAGTAATGTGTTCACCTGCCTTCTGCCTGGTTAAAAACTTTTCCCACCTCCAAACACATGACTAAACAGAACAGAAAATTCCACCCAATGTTCTGGACAATTTGTGAAATAAAATTAGTTTCTATATAAGCAAGTTATAAATCAAATGTGAATGTCTATTTTGTAGTTTTAAGCCTTGTAGATCAGACAAGGTTCATATTGAATTCTTCATTAATGATAGTTAAATTCAGGTGAAACGATCTTGGGGACACTGTAAATTTCCTAGTTTTGTACTCCAACATAAAGGAATTTATAAAGTTAGCCAAGATTCCTACTTATGATTGCTATTCAAAGGCCAATAATAGAAATACCTCAATTTTTAAAAGTTCCTTTGTGGAATGTGGGCATCACTGGCTGGCCAGCATTTATTGCCCTTCCCTAGTTACCCTTGAGAAGTGGTAGTGCGCTGCCTTCTGAAGCTGCTGCTGTCCATGTGTTGTAGATAGATCCACAATACCCTTAGGGAGGGAATACTAGGGCTTTAAGCCAGTAGCAGTGAAAATAGTGGTGGTATTCCCACATATGTGTTGTCAACGTCCTTCTAGGTAGAGGTTGTCATGGGTTTGGAAGGTGCTGTCTAAGGATCTTTGGTGAATTTCTGCAGTGCACCTTCTAGATAGTACACATTGCTGCTACTGAGCCTCAGTGATGGAGCGAGTTGGATGTGTGCGAGGTGGTGCCAATCAAGGGGACTAGTTTGTCCCGGATGGTTTAAACTTCTTGAGTGTTGTTGGAGCTGCACTCATCCAGGCAAGTATGGAGTATTCCAACACACTCCTGACTTGTGCCTTGTAGATGATGGATAGGCTCTGGGGAGTCCGGAAGTGAGTTAGCCACCGCAGTATTTCAAGCCTCTGACCTGGTATTGTCCCACAGTATTTGCATGGCAAGACTAGTTAAGTTTCTGGTCAATGGTAACCTCCAGGATGTTGATAGTGGAGGATTCAGTGATGGTAACACCATTGAATGTCAAAGGACACTGGTTAGATTGTCTCATATTGCACATGGTCATTGTCTGGCATTTGTCTGACGTGAATGTTACTTGGCACTTGTCAGCGCTCGACATTGTCTAGGTATTGGTGCATTTGAACATGGACTGCTTCAGTGTCTGAGGAGTCACAAATGGAACTGATCATTGAGCAACCACTGGCAAACATTCTGACCTTATAATGGAGGGAAGATCATTGATGAACCAGATTAAGATTTCTAGGCCAAGGGCACTACCCCGAGGAACACCTGCAGAGATGTCCCGGAGCTGAAATGACTGACCTCCAGCAACCACAACCACTTTCCTATATGCCAGGTATGACCCCAAGCAGTGGAGAATTATTTCCATTGATTCTAGTTTTGCTATGGCTCCTTTAGGCCACATTTGGTCAAATGTACCCTTGATGTCAAGGGCAATCACTCTCACTTCACCTGTGGAATTCAATGCTTTTGTCCATGTTAGAACCAGAGCTGCAATGAGGTGAAGTACGGAATGGCCCTGGCAGAACCCAAACTAGGTGTCACTAAACAGGTTATTGCTAAGCAGGTGCTGCTTGATCACACTGTTGATGACACCTTCCATCACTTTACTGTTGATCGACAGTAAACTGATGGGATGGTAATTAGCAGGGTTGGATTTGTCCTGCTTTTTGTGTACAGGACATAGCTGGGCATTCTTCCAGATTATCAGGTAGACATAAATATTACAACTGTGATGGAACTTGGCTAGGGGACAGGCAAGTGCTGGAGCACAACGCTTCAGTACTATTATTGGAATGTTGTCAGGGCCCATAGCCATTTTAGTATCCAGTACCTCCTACCATTTCTTGATATCATGTGGAGTGAATCAAATTGGTTGGGGACCATTGGAGGAGGCTGAGATGGATCATCTATTTGGCTCTTCTCACTGAAAATTGCTGCATATGCATCCACTTTATCTTTTACACTGGATGTGCTGTGCTCTTCCATCTTTGAGGATGGGGACATTTGTGGATCCTCGTCCGTCAATGAGTGGTTTAATCATCCAACAATTCACGACTGCATGTGACAGAATTGCAGAGCTTAGATCTGATCTGTTGGTTGTGAGATTGTTTAGCTCTGTCTATCACTTGCTGCTTATGCTGTTTGGCATGCAGGTGGTCCTGTTTGGTAGATTCACCAGGTTGCCATCTTATTTTAGGTATGCCTGGTGCTGCAACTGGTAATGCCGCCTGTACTCTTCATTGAACCAGGGTTGATTTCTTGGCTTGATTGTAATGGCTGAGTCGTTGATATGCCAGGCCATGAGGTTGCAGATTGTGTTGGTGTACAATTTTGATACCGTTAATGGCCCACAGCATCTCATGAATTCCCAGTCTTGAGTTGCTAAGTTTGTTTGAGGTTTGTCCCATTTCACAGAAAGTGAAGAAGGGTTTCCAAGATTACAAAGGGATCTTGATCAAATGGGCCAATGGGCTGAAAAATGGCAGATGGGGATCGATCTGGATAAATGCAAGGTATTGCATTTTGATACAACAAACAGGGGCAGGGCATATACAATTAATGGTAGAGCTTTCAAAAGTGTTGTAGAACAGAGGGACCTAGGGATTTGGGTACATAATTCTTTGAAGTTTTCATCATATATAGACAGGGTGGTTAAAAAGGTTTAGCTTTCTTGCTCAGTCCTTTGAGTATAGGAGTTGGGAAGTCATGTTGAGGTTGTACAGGACATCAGTGAATCTTCTCAAGTACTGTGTCCAGTTCTGGTCACCCAGTTATAGGAAGGATATAATTAAACTGGAGTGGGTTCAGAATATACTTGCCAGGATGTTGCCGGGTATGGAATGTTTGAGTTATACACAAAGGCTGGATAGGCTGGGACGTTTTTCACTGCAGCGTAGGAGGTTGAGAGGTGACCTTATAGAAGTTTATAAAATCATGAGGTTTATAGATGCATTTAATGATAGGTGTTGGCTATTTGGCCCTTCAAGCAGCTCTACCATCAACATGATCATGACTGATCATTCAAATCAGTACTCTAGTTCTCACTTCTCCCCATACCCTTTGATCCCCTTAACCATATGAATAACTGCTTGAAAACATTCTGTGTTTCTGTGGCAGAGAATTCCATAGGCTGAGTTAAGTAAAAGGGCATGTTGTGGGTATGACACTGTGGTACATCAATGGCATACTTGGAATAAGCCAGCAGCTCTCACAGCAAATATACTGTAAGTGCTCAGCCAAATTGCCCTGTCACAAAGTTGAAGGGGAGTAGTTCTAAGTAAAATCAAGAAGTACCATTATCACTCAGGAGCAGCTGCCCAGTCAGTCAAGACCAGCATCTTGTTTCAGATGACGGTTTTGGACATGGTCAATTGGTGTTTGGTCAGGAATTCCGTTTCATTACAGTTCAGGGAATGGGCCATGGTCAGTCATGCAGATCCAGTGGAAACAACTGAGGATTAATTATAAGTTAGTTGAGAAGCTACACAATGATCAATTAGGATTTGGTCTCACATCATTTTTGCTATCCTTCCAAGTCGATCAAGGGTTTAGTCAGTCCTTAGAATCTGCTCACTGAAAGTCAGTGTGGGTTTTCAGGGTCCACCAATGTGGTACAGAGGTTGGGAAATTATTGAGGGGTTCAGAAGCGGCATGCTGGCATGCAGAATTAACAATAACTGTGATGGGGGGCAACTTAAAGCATAAAAATGGAAAATTATATTGGAGAATATCCACTGGAGGTCATAGGTACTTGCAAAGATGGGGAGGGAGTCATCAATGGTCACCACAACCCTGGCTTCAATAATAGCACAATACATCATGATGGTTGGCATGGCTAAGCTACTGTGCCAGGGCTCATTGGGTAATGTTGGGGCATGAAGACTGAAATTAAAATGTTTAAATTAAAATGTCGGAATGTGTAGAAGCTCAGAATTGAGAAGCTCAGAGTGCAAGTTAAAAAGGAACATGAGGGTTTCAGGGAGTCCCAGGTTACATGCTGAGCCTGGTGACTCATTCTGCAAAGCATGATCCGTGTTACCTTCCATCCTCATCCAAATCACAAACGCAAAATAAGACCATAAGATGCAATTGACTGCTATCACACCCCAAGTGGATAAAGTAACTGTTTTTTTTTAATCTGTCTGAACACAAGAGCTCCACCTTTGTTTTGTTCACTCATGGGATGTGAGCATCATTGGCTAGCAAGCATTTATTGCCCAGTTGCCTTTGAGAAGGTTAATTTCTTGAACTGCGGAAATC